TCAACATCAAGGACGCACATCTTTATGATGAAGCCGAATCTCGATATAAATATCTTTATGTCTTATGTGCTTACTTATGATCACATCAATTACGAAAAGGTTTGATATATCATAAGTAATACTTTCATTATGTCTTATATGTACGTGTAGGTTCAACCAGATAAATTTCGTCATGTTCGCTTGAGCTTATTCAGAACTACTTTTTAGGCATGGAACAATGTTTTTCTCTCACAATATTTCAAAGTATATGCATAAAAAATTTCAGCATCAGCGAACATGATGAAAGTATATACAAGCAGTTACAAATTTGGTTAGGCACTTGAATTACAGGTCAAAGCCTTCTTAGTCTCACCTCTCACGTGAGTTGAAGACCAACGCCAATGCTATTGGATTTTTAATTGAATTTATTCAATGCTAAAAAATGGCACTTTGTATGCATCAGATTGAGGTGCCGCACTTGAAGAAAGCTGGTTCTAGACGTTGTTGTAATACCATATCGCAGCACCATTGAGATGTAAATCAGCCATGATGCCTACTTGATCGGATTGTAGAAACCGATGAACCATTTCTTCAATTTGTTCTTCTTAGATCCTTTTACTAGCAAATATGCCACAACGAGAGAAAATCTTCACATCCCCTAGCCTAATAAGAAGGCCAGTAGCGTATGATTTTTTTTCAGCGCTTCTATTTAACATCTGACGGGTATAAACCTAGTGCATCAAAAAAAAAAAAAAAGGCTAATTGAACTTTGGATTATTATATAGATCTACTCCCACTTCTTCTCAAAAGTCTTGTAATTACAAGAGGTGTTTTGGATATATTTACAAGTCAGTCTTCCAGTGTGTTTAATATAAGTTTTGTTATGATATGCATTATGAGATCCGGACATTTTTTCTGATAGGATATCTTTTCCTTAAGCATACTCCTTATTTAATAAGTTGATATTAATTGAAATATATTTCGTTTAGATTTTTGCAAAGGTTTCATTTACGTCATATCGAGTAGGCCATTTGCATTGTTGTGAGAATTCTCAATTCATGAGTTGTCGGGTGGGAGTTATGTCAACACAAAATGACACTAAGCCTTGGTGTTGGATTCAACGCCGGTGTTAGATTATAAATTGACTTACTACACCTTGTTCGTTCTAGACAGCTTTGCCCGGATGAAAGATTATTCTTCAGACGAGGTTGGCTATTTTCGGGAGTGGGAACCCATTTTAGCTTTGAGAATTGCCACAGATAGTGCTGACAACCACTTCACAGAAATGATCTTGGTTAACATTTCACCTCAGAAGAAATGCGTGCTGGATCTTAATTGTCATTACTGAAGATCCTGTAGAAAATAAATGAATGGTAGCCCAGGCAATAGTTAAAGTCTTGTTTAAATCCAGGGTGTAAAGTTTTGGGGTGCCACATCGGGTGTCGCATGGGATGTTCGGATACTAATAAAAAACAAATTACAGTCATCCATCAAGCTAATCCATAAGATTGTCAAATTTATTTAGGTTTAAAAGATTCGCCTAAATTAATCATGCAATTAGCACATGTAGTAGGGAGTAAATATTTAGGAGGAGAAACTTTAGGAGGAGAAACTAAACAATGCCTAAAACTACAACCGACTTGAAATGTGATACGGTGCGCCATACAGTTGTCAGCACATTTGCCAGCCAGTTTATGAAGCGGGAAGATAATAGCTGATAACCATAAGATTTGCCCCGTTTGGAATGGAGGAATACCAAACATAGGAATGAGAAAAAAAAATGCAAGAACAAGGAAACATAAGATTTGAATGAAATGGTAAACCAGATGATTAGAAAAACATAAGAATCTTATAGGAGTTATGAAACACAGCATATGCATCCATCTTTGGGCTCGAGAATTTCACGGAGTCCTATACTCTTCCTCCCGGGTCCGATATTCTCCCAAAGTTACGGGGCTATTTTGCCGAGTTCCTTAGATCCTCCTCTTTTTGAAACAAGGGGCGCTTCCGGTTCCGTGCAAATTAGGAGGAACCTAGAATTAGAGTCTTATGGGCAAGGACAAATTTATTTTTTTGGGAACTTGCCGGAATGTCTATTTTTAACATCTAATTAGATCGGGGAATCCTTTAGTAAGAAAGTAGGTTTTTAGCTGGGGGAAAAGAACTCTGTTGCATTGCCAGAATCCATGTTCCATATTTGAAGTGGGTTGACCTCTGTGCTTCTCTCTATGCTTTTCTTTCTTTTTTTCAGCCCCCCATGGGTTCTATATCCGATTCATAACTAGAAAGCTTCTCTGATGTTTCAAACACAGGAATTAAAATATCTCAGGAATTTGAGAGCTAGAAATAAATCTAGGTGCTCAAACTAATATGCACTATTCTTTCTTATAATTAGAGATCAGGTCAAGAAGGTCCAACAGATGGAGTGGGCCCAAATACCAGTTATGGTTTCTTTTTCTTTCTTTTTTTTTTGAAAGGGGGTATATGCTTCCATTAGATAAGTAAAACGACAATACACAGGAGTGCAGTACTCATCACCACATCATCATTAACAATAGCAACGTCTCTTCGTGACCGGCAACTCCTTGGCGCAGAACTCTTCATCGTCTTCTCGCAAGCAACATCAAAGAGAAAGGGACAGCCTCCACAACCATCCTTAAAGATGCATCAGCAGAGAATGCCACAAAGGGCTACATAAACTGCAAAAGAAGCCTGTCCCAAGAGACGGAGCGAAAACACCGATGAAAGACCCTCGGTGGGGCAACGCCCCACAAGAAGCTTGATGCTAATCCATCGCTGCCACCCGAGGAAAACACGGAGAAGAACTATGTTGTTGTGTCATAGATCGAAAGGGAAGAGTACGGACTCCCCATCCCTTCCCGAACATGGAACTCCTGATTGAAGTGCCGGACAAACCACCTAAACAGAAACCACCAAGATCCAAAAGAGAACCCTCGCCGATCTAGATTCCAGATCTAGCGAACACCACCCTCAGCCATCTCGCCGGCGATGAAGAATATGATGATGAGATGGAGACAATGTCGGAGGGTCTTATTCCGAAGCTGCATCACCATCACCACCTTGACGCCGCCGCCGTAGACATCAAACCTAGAGAAACTAGGACCTAACATATCGGCACATCGGCGATCCATGTTCTACCCCTCCTCCAGGCAGCGGGAGCTAGGCGGCGCAAGCTTGATAGTTGAGATCACGGAGATGAGAATGAGATGGTAGCAAGCCAACAGCAAATCCTTATTGTTTCTTGATGATTGCTGCTTCTTCTCTTGCATCTCTCTAGCTAGAGCCTCATACGAGTGATCTCCTCATAGGCGTGAGTGATGGCTGGTGTCTGCAAGTTGTGGTCGTGCCATGTCCACTGCTCCTCCTCGCATGTCCACGGTCGGCGCGTCGGCGACGATACTGGCTCTGTACAATCAATGTGGCAAGACAAAGTGGCCGGGCATCCAGCCGAGCGTAGGAAAGGAGCGCCAAACATCCGGCGCCAAGCGCGCCCGGACGCAGTTCAGCCAACCAAACCGTAGGCTTGCGTCGCGGCCCACCAACAAGACCGTCCCATCTCAGCATCCCGTGTAATTGAATAACTGAAGGGACCACGCCGCCATCCCGCGGCGCTCCCCCTCCACCGGCCCCCGCCGCACCCCTCCGCAGTCTGAGAAGGATGCAAGACAACAAAAGGTGATGAGAAGACACTAAGGCGAGGCAGCAGAAAGCGAGGAGGGAGATGCAACATCCGATCTACTTTTGAAACATCCAGATACAATACTTGCAACAAATGTTTGAAGACAGAAGAAACGCTTGAAACATCCGTCTGAAACATTTGAAAAAAAAACACATGAAACACTTGAACCCATTGCAACACATACACAACATCTAGATAAAACACTTGCAATATGTGGAAACATATACAACATCCAAACAAACACACTTGCAACATACGTCTCAAAAACAGATAAAACATTAGGAACATATGTGTACAACTATTGCAACATATGCAACATCCCGATCTACTTTGCAACATCCATACAAAACACTTGCAACATATATCTGAAACACTGAAACATACGCTTGCAACCTGCGTTTTCAGTGCAATGTCACCTTGTCGCTCGAACGAATAGAGCTCGTCGTTGTGGAGCTCGACGGCGGCGCATGGAGCTCACCGGTGCGCCAGCGGAGTGGTGGGCACTACGCGACCTAGGCGAGCACCCCTAGCGAACAGAATGGCAAGGGCGAGCACCTACGGCTGGCAACGTGATTGGGAGTAAGGCGCCACGTCGGGAGATGGAGAGCGAAAAAGGTCGCTGGATAGTGATGGAGGGGAGGACCATTGCATTCGCGGCTGGCAGCGTGATTGGGAGTAAGGCGCCACGGCGGGAGATGGAGAGCGAAAAAGGTCGCTGGATAGTGATGGAGGGGAGGACCATTGCATTCGCCGGACGCCCTCACCATAGCATTAGAGTTGGGAAAGAGATGCTAACATGCAAGGTACTGCTAATGATGCTCCACAGTTTCTATTAGCAAATCGTCAGTCCATCCCTATTAGCAAGTCGTCAGTCCATCCTTCACGCGCAGAGGAAAATTTCCAAGGGATCGAGGTAAATGTTTAATTTCCTATATTTTTGCACCGGTTTCCTCCATTCAAACATAGGCTGACGTAATCAAAACAAAGGAATCTCATTCCTTCGAAAATTGGCTGACTAATATTTAGTGCTTTCATGGTTGCAAATACCTATACTAGGAAAACAAGGATGAAGAGGCAATATCGACATGTGACAGAATAGTTAAACAGCCAGGAAACTGAGGTAATCAATTCATAAGATAGAAAAACTTTGGTTCACCAGTAAAACCCCAACCAGCATAGCAATCTACGGCTGAATACAAAATATGAAGACAGTAGCTGTCTTTCCAGTAATTTCCAACATAAAACAAGGTTAAAATCTAAACATGACTCTGGTTTTCGTCTGGTTCCACTGCCCAAAACAATACTCTGATGACCGCGCATCTTAGTCGAAGAGGCTGAAGCCCATGTCCTGCAGAAAAAAATAATCAACATAGTCAAGTCTCTGGATGTAGTCAACAGCAAAGGAAACACAGCAGTGCAAAAGAATTGGTGGCCATGATATCAAGATGGAATTCAAGTGCGAGGGCATTAGAGTGTAGAAAGTAGTATTTTGCTCATGATGACAATATCAGAACATAGTTTAGTACTGCTGCTTTGATAGGAAAAACTATTGTGCAGCCAGAATGGGAGAACAATGATCTTACATCATCACTTTCTTCCTTCTCTTCCACCTTCTCTTCTTTCTTCGCCTCAGCTGCAGGAGCAGCTCCGCCAGCAGCAGGGGCAGCTGCCGCGACAGCTACACCGCCGCCGCCACACGGGACTGAAGCAAACTTCTCCCTGCCCGCTGCAATAAGCTCGGTAATGTCCTTACCGCTCAGTTGGGACAGCAGGAGTTCCATCCTTTCATTGTCAACTTCACAGCCAACTGCAACATGTACAAGTAGGAATCAGTGAATACAGGATCACTATTGTGATGAATACACTACCAACACAAATCAAACCAACTGTGCTACATAATTGTCAACTTGTAGTTAAACATAAAAAACCCCAAGAATCCCTAAATTCAAGAAGCAGGTAATGCTATTGGCAGAATTGAGTCTTTTCCATAAAGACATGCAGAGTTAATAGTAACAAGAGTTATCCATTGGATGTGTTGCACTCCTTGAAATGGTAGTTAACTGAAATTACCTGACTCCAGAATGGCTGTCAAGTCCTCGGCTGAGGGGCTGGAGTTCCCAGCAAGGACAGCAAGCAGGTACGCAGCAACGAACTTCATCCTGCACAAACCATCAGAAATCATCATATCAGTTATCAGTTATTTACCAATTTTTAGCTACATAAGCGAAATCGTCATATCAATTAGTTCCCAATTTTTAGCTACATGACCAAGTGGGGTGAGGTAAAATGGTAAAGCAACAGACCCAAGAATCTAAAGCAAATCAACCTAAAATCAAATTATCAGAGTAACATGAATCTATTATCTGTTACAATAAAAAAATCAAGCACTAATATATGATAACAACAATGGTGTTGAAGGTGTCGAACTGCAGGACAGTGGAGCACCAGAAAAATACAAACAGGCTTAGCAGAAAACCGAACACAAGCGCATTGAGACCAGTAACAAATAACTATGGTCAAAACACCAAAATATACTTGGTGTACAGACCACTACAAGTCAACATACACGCTTAAGGACCAGAGCAAATCTCAACAAGGCCCTCCTCAACTAGAGATCTAAGGCAATAAAGGTTCAAGAATCAAGACATGTTATAAGGGTTAATTGGATTCATGCCATTATAATTTTCGACGATCGGAGAAACGTCATTACTATTCGTCTATTTTGAAGCATGTCATTACAATTCTTCGTTTGCCACAAAAATGCCACTGAATACGTATGGACATAACCTGGGCCCAGCTGCAGGCGTATACGAAGACGTATACTTCATCTCCCTATCACTGACACGCGGGCCCCACCTGTCATCTTCTTCCTCTCCTCATCTCTCTCTCCTGATGGGCGCATCGAAGGGGTGTGGGCGAGAGCCACCATTGGCAGTGTGCTCGACGGGAGGAGTGGAGGGATGGGGGAAGCGACCTCGCTGCTGCTCGCTCCCGCGTGGCCGATCGCCGTCGCTAGTACCATGGCAGGCAGAGCTTCTCCGCCGAGCCCCCCCAGCGCTGGGCGGAGCTGCTCCTCTGAGCCATGGTGGGTGGAGCTCACGTCTATGGCGGTGTAAGCTCCTGCCCGGCTCGGTGCGCCACAGAATGGGCAAGCAGCAGCTTGTGGAGCCCCATGCGACTTGACGAGGCGGAGCTTCTCGCGGTGGCCGGAGCTAGAGGCGGGCGCGCCATCGTCCCGTCCACGCAAGCCGATGTTGGAGCTTCGCCCCTGGGGCTGCTGCTACTGCTGCTCTAGGCGGAGGAGCTCTGGCCCGCCAGCTCCGCCTGCCGTGGCGTGCGCCATGGCCGGGTGGGAGCTCCGTCCGCCATGGCAGCGCGGGAGCTCGAGGCGGAGGAGCTCCGGCCCGCCATGGCTGCGCGTGCTGCTGCCGGCGTGCTGCTGCTGCTGCTCGGCGTGCTGCTGCTGCTGCTCACGGGCTGTCGGCCTGCTGCTGCTGCTGCTCGCCGTGGCCGTGGCCGTGGCCGTGGCCGTGTCGGGATGGAGAGAGAGAGAGAGGAGGAAGAAGAAGATGACATGTGGGGCCCGCGTGTCAGTGACAGGGGTGATGAAGTATACGTCTTCGTATACGCCTGCAGCTGGGCCCAGGCTGTGTCCATACGTATTCAGTGGCATTTTTGTGGGAAACGAAGAATTGTAATGGCCTGGTTCAAAATAGCCGAATAGTAATGGCGTTTCTCCAAACGTCGAAAATCATAATGGCATGAATCCAATTAACCCATGTTATAAATGGTTCAAGGATTCATTCAAATCCCAATATGAGAACCCAGCGCGGACAAATAGCATCTCATCTCAACAACAACCACAGCAGCAGGGGCCGGATCTAGTTCTCTATGCGAAAGATGACAAGATGCCATCAGCCAACCCTTGCAACTCAGTAAGCCCATTGTAGACCTAAACACCACAAACAGCCTCGCTAAATACCGATGCCGTCGCTAGTCCCGCACAGCAGCCGTCGCTACTCAGATCCTCTGAGCCACACTACGTCGCCGGTGTAATCGAGCCCGGCCGGTGACAGAAAAAAACAAACGCTAGAAGGTAGAATCGGGCATCGACGGCCACGCAAGCCGATGCAGCTTAACCATGTGGCGACCCGGCAAACGCCTCAAGGTAAACATGAGGCCAAACTAAAAACACTAGCACAAGAAGCAAAGATCCGGTGGGAGAACTTACGTGATTCTCCCGCGCTCCGAGAACCCGGCCGACAGCGAAAACCTGGAACAATCAAGCAAGCGGAATGAACGTCAGTGGCGATTTGCTAACGGGACTATATAGTACGAAGAAGGGGAGGGAGAGGAACGCGCCGCCACCTCGAGGGGACGGACTGCCGAGCTGCTAGGGTTTTCGCGTGGGGAGGAGACGGTTGGGAGTTTTGGTAACCTTATATTGCAGATAACGGGCCTTCTGGGCCTCAGCGGGCATAATATTTTACTGGGCTGATCCGGCCATCGCATGTTCTTTGGGCTAGACCCGTGCTGCAGCCCCTTAGCCCGGGCCCTAGACCCGCCCTTGCATGAGACATACTGTACTTTTGCTATAAAAAAAAAAGACATACTGTACTGTCCATTTTTATGAGCTGTTCCACAGTGAAGTTTATGAATCAGAGTTTTGTAGAGCAGTTCCAAATAGAACGTAAGTTTGAACTCATTTCTGATTTGGAACATCGTAAATTATTGAACTAATGTCCATGCTAACTCAAGCCATATTTTCATTTTTGTATGATGTCTCATATTGGATTTCAGAGTTCCAATAGCAACAATGTGGGACGTAGTTTTTTTCCCCCCTGACATATGCTCCCTCCCCACTGCCGTTGGATACGAAGTATATGCCCTTTGGGGCATATTTAACTTCCCCCAACAGTGTGCAGATATGCTTTCTACCTTTGTTTGTCACTTGGGTGTTGTTTCTGGTTGGTTCCACCAACAGCAAGCGGCAAGGTTAACGCAAAGGAAACAGCAATCCAGAGCCCAGAGGTAATGGAAACGGAATCCTTTTTTCATCATACATCAAACAAACAAAAAATAGCATAATACGATGACGCTGTGATTGGATCACACCAGAAAACAAACCAATCAAACAGCTTCCAGCTTCTTGATTTTCAGTTACAGTTTCCAGTCAATTGTTTTTTTTTTTATTTATGTTTTTCAGTTTGGAAAGTAGGCTCAAATAATGGAAAGCCTATGACGCCTTCTGCAATGCTACAACTATATACACCCTTCAACCATAGCTTTTTAAAGTGTCCAATGTTGTGTTGGGACGAAATTTCTTCTATCACAAACTAAAATATTTTCCTACCTGTTCCACTTAAAAGGCCTAAACTTAAGATATACAAAATGTCTGGTTTTGAATAAAATGCTATTTTTGGTTTCACCATGCCTGATTCTAAGAAGCTTCTTTCCGAAGCATTATATTGTCTAAAGAGACTCTTCGTGTCTACACACACACAAACCCTGCATAAACAGAGGCACCTGTTCCACTTAAAAGCCCTAAACTTAAGATATACAAAATGTCTGTCCCCCCCAACCCCCCCACACACACAAACCCTGCATAAACAACCATCAAAAGAATGGGCAGCAGCGCCGAATCCGAACGGAATGACAAGTACAAGGAAGAACACGCGCAATACTAGCTCTTGCTGATTTGTATTAACAATAGATGAGAGCACTTCAAACAAGAGTTGAGATATCCAAATCGTTCACATGAATCCTTGGTTCACTTGAAATATGTTCTAATCTCCTAGCAAAGCCCAAGAACCCAGCACAAATTTAAACTCAGGTGCAAAATGTAGTGTAGAACACAAGTTCCAGATACTGACACACTGTATCTAGTTTGTATCTAGTGCGATTTGACGTACTCCTGCACTATGTTAAGGCCTTCAGATTCTTCGCCATAGTCCTGATGATCCAAATGAAGCAGCCAAAATTCAGTTTTATCCAAATATAATCGGAAGTAGTTGCTTGTAGTGGTAGAGTAGGAAATCGATAAGTCACCTTGACAACAACACAGGAGCAGCCTACAACCTTCCTCGCCTTGCCCTCAGAGTCAATCTTGCAAAGCTACAGAGGACCATAGATGAAGGTTGTTAAGATTAAAACTCACTTTACACAAAAATGAAATGCAATAGATACTGAGAAGTACAAAGCAAAAATGGAGAATGGCATGCTCAGCACATTTGTATGTTAACTCACAGCGCAACTAAAACAGAATGTACATGCATATTAACATACCAAAACCATATTGTATTATCCTCTCTCAACATTAGGCAGAACAATGTAAGCCATATTAATTGCTTGGACCATCTAAGAGATGGATACAACAACAACAACAACAACAACAAAGCCTTCTTTAACTCACCCCAGCCCACTCGCCAAGAGTTTTAGCGCTAGGCACAGTAACCAGGTGGACATTGTGCTCAGCGCAGAGAGCCTTCACCAGCTTGACATAATCAGGCTGGTCACAGTCCTCGGCAAGCACGCAAAGCTGAGCAGCATGCTTCTCGATGGCTTTGGCAGCCTCACGAAGACCCTTCACAAGGCCATCATGAGCACCTGACTTCTTCATGACGAGCTGCAGGGCAGTCATCAGGTCCATCGGCTCCCCAAGAACCGGGGTAGGTGCCTCAACCACAGCTGGGGTCTCCTGATCCCTGCCAAAGCACAATTTTGTCATGAACTGATGAGCTTCCTGTGTTGTAGGCATGCAGCAATCACCAAACAATCGAATTCACAATACAAATACCCATAGTGAATCACTATTACAGTTACTAAACAAACCCACCCAACTAAAACCCCGCCAGAATCTACCATGGTTATGATTTACAAAATATGAAGACTCAGCTGGGTTGCCTTCCTGTGTTTTGGCAGCAATCCCCAGATCAAAACCAGGGTAAAACCGATTGGATCGCCTTCCAATGTTGTACAGCAATGTTGCTTTATATGAAAATCATTCTCTATAAACCACCAAAATGCGAAAGATGATAAGATGGCTGGGCCATTGCAACTCTTAGATCAGCCAACCCTTGCAGCTCTGTCAGTCCACTATCCACCTGAACCACAAACAGCCCGCTAAATAACCATGCGCTAGCATCCGAAACCAACCGCTCCACATAGCAGCCAGCGCTACCTCCTCTCCTCCCTTCTGCCACCGTTTCTGCCTACTCTACTCCTCGAAGAGTCACAAGCGGGCAACGACGGCCACGCAAGGCGATATAGCGTCGCCATGACCATGTGTAAACATGACGCGACTATAAACAATAGCACAGGAAGCAAAGATTTCGGTGGGGAACTTACGCCATCTCCTGCGCTCCGAGGACCCGGCCGACTGCGTATGGAATACCTGGAACAGTCAAGCAAGCGGAATGAACGTCAGTGGCGATTTGCGAGGGAGACTAGTAGCAAGAAGAAGGGGAGGGGACGAGCGCGCCGCCACCTCGAGGGGGTTGGTTGGAGGGAGTGCCGAGCTGCTAGGGTTTTCGCGTGGGGAGGAGATGGCTGGACTTATATTGCAGTTGGCCTTTCTGGGCCTCAGTGGGCATAATACTTTACTGGGCCGAGACGGCCATCACATATCCAAATGGAATGTGGGCCGCACGGTCAGAGACTCGAGGGCCATCATAACAGTCCAACACCCTCTAAACAGTCGTACACATTTTCAGACAAAAAAAACAGTCGTACACGGCTGCCCGCTCGGTATTTGAAGTTCCAACAATGTCAAAAAGAAACAATCTCATCTCAGTTTCAAAAAAAGCTGTCATCTCATCTCATTGACGTTATGTCATTATCTATTGTCAATGCGCATCTACGCAACCAGTCGCTCCCCATGGAGGGCACGACCCTATGGCCGCACATAAAGACCTCGCCGACTTAGAGTTCAAGACTAGGGTTTTAGGGCTTACATGGTTTCTGGACTTAGAAGGGATCGCTAGCAGACCATCGGACCAGTGGTGGTCGCCGTCAAGACGACGACACAGACATCGGCAGGAGCGGCACCCGTCGGGCAGTGGAAGAGGCCATTTGAGTGGCGCATGTGGCGAAAATGTTGGCTGAAGAAGGAACAACGTATGGGATTAGTAATGGTGGAGGACTATGCTGTCAGAGCTAAGGGGAAGCGGTGGCGCTTGAACCAGAGATGAAGAAGGTGATGGTAAAGATGGCAACGGGCCCCAATACTCGATACCCGATGGGTATTTGATCCATTATGGGATGGGGATGGGATCATATCTTTACCCGCGGGCATCTAAATGGGCAAGAATCCATCCTCGACGGGTATAGCGGGTACGGAAACGTTCCCTGTTTACCCGTTAACCGTTGAGGAACCCGACTATTTGAGCTGTCATGCGAGTATTAGGCCCAAAAAAGCTCAACATAGGTATTTTGGCCAAAATCTGAACAATCATATATATAGTTTGTGTGTTCTAGGAACTCTAGTTCAATTTTTCCTCACCATCTCCGCCAGCAGCACAAGCACGCCTGCCTCACGAGCGCTCGTGCCCCTCGCTTCCTTAGTTCGGTCTCTCTGCCGCCTTTGCTCGTCCTCCTCGCAACCTCGCTCCTTCTCCTCGGCATCTCCGAGACTCCGACACTTATACCCGGGTGAAGAAGAAACGTCTCCGATTGCAAAGCTGCGACCCCAAGTGTCCTTGTTTATCGGGTATGCAGCACCCGTCGGGTATCTGTTACCCGACCGATGCCCGACGGGTACGGGGATGAGCAAGAATCTATACCCGAGACAGTTAACGGGGACGGGGACGGAATGAATTCTCCGTAGCGGGGAAGAGAACGTTCCGGCGATACCCGACGGGTACATCCCCGTTGCCATCTTTAGGTGATGGGATTTGCATCGCGTGGTCGTGGGCAATGGCTAGAACGTGAGCAAGGTCACACGATGTGCTTTACGCGTGCCTAATCGTACATTATCTTCCTCTTTTAACAAGGCTACTCATATTGGTACCGTGTCACATACATTCTTTGACCCGTTAATAAACTAACGAGAGAGAGAGAGAGAGAAAACTACAACTTTATGAGAAAATTGCTTGAGCACAAAATCTAGCCATTGGCAGCCTGTTCGGTTGGCTGGTGGATCTCGTATACGATCGTAAATTTCCAGCCGGAACATTATTTTTCTCTCACACCAAACCAGACAGCAGTAATAATCCACGATCCAGCCACGAACCAGCCAACCATCCAAACAGGTGTGGATATATGGCATTTAGGTGAAGTTATTCACGTGGTATTGTTATGTGGTGTTGTTTTGAGTCCTAGACACTATTAGGACCTGTTTGGTTTCTACCTAGACAAGTCGGACCACCTGGGAGCCATGTGTCTTGGAGGCTTGAAACCAAATAGGCCCTTAAATTAAATTGTCATAAGACAAAATGCCAAGATAATGTGCAACGATAGGTCACATCACATTTTTCTATACTTGTTCTGAGTACAACATTTGACAGCTTTAGGAGTATAAGATAAAATGCCAAGACTCGTTGTGTTGGGTTCATGAACTCAGGGTCCCCAATGGATCCGCTTTCCTATAAAACTAGGCCCAGCAGGCGGCGCAACGACAGCACACGCCTGGGCCGGACCAGATACACAATAACAAGCCAAGACCACGATTCGGTTCCCGACCGGCACCTCCGACCTCTGGGGGCAGGCAGGCCCTGCACTCGCCCGATATCTGGGTCACGGGCTCCGCCTCGTCCGTCCCCTTTCTCCGACCAAGGATAGTCAGACCTCTGCTCGCTGCTCTTTCCCGACCGACACGGTCGGGGACTACTGGGAACAACCGACCACGGACGCCCGCTTGGTGTGGGCCTCGGGAGCAGGCGGAGCAAATAAGGTAAGGCGCTCAAGTCAAGCGCAATACCGAGGACCATACCCTGCGCACCTGCAAGACGGTGCCTCCAGGTCATGACAGACGGACACTATACAAACCTTCCAGACACGTCAGACCACAAACAGTATTGTGGGCGCCGATGTTTGCCATACCAGGCGAACACGATAGAACCTGCCAGACGCGTCTGGGCATAAACAGTATTATGGGCGCTGGCAGTCATCCCGTACTCGATGGCGTGAGCAAAAAGACTAGGCAGCACAAGTATACATTTTCTCTCTTTCTCTCTGACTTGTAAGGCCATCCCTTTCAACTATAATAGGGGATGCGCTCTCTCCTGAAAAACGACGCTCTCTCTCTCTCTCTCTCTCTCTTTCTCTCACTCAGACTCTCTTGACGACTCGAGAACACAACAGCTCAACAAGCTTTAGAGACACGCAGAGCATACGCCCCCGTCACTCTCAGCCACTTGGTTCAGAGTCCGACCGGGCCTCTAACACCCCCCTTCTCATTCGTTACTCGTTTGTAACCCCACAGCAAACTTCGAGCACCTAGGCTCAGGAATAAAGTCGCTGACCGACCTCAACTGGACGTAGGGCCCGTTGTCTGAACCAGTATAAATACTGTATCATTGAGTGCTAGGACACATCCTGTCACAACGCACGGCAAAACTACAAATATTTACTTGTCGGTCACATTTCGCACCGACACGTTGCATTGAAAGTGTTGTATCATCCTTACTTTTATATGACGTGTCAATTTTAAAGAAAGTAACACTAGATAATAGATTTCGAGTACCTTAATACTAGGACTTGGATATTTCAAAATATTTATGCCATACGGATCCTACAATGTGAAAAAGATTTTGAGTCCAAAAGACGATGGCTATCTTACAACATGGATTTACTTTATAGCATATATCTCTTTCTCACACTTCCACATGGTTCATCATTATTTTCTTCCTCCCAATTTATCTTCGTAACAATATGATTGAGAAGTGCATGTGCCACAGTGTGGCACAAAACTTGTGAATAGTAGATTATAGGATTGTGGTAGTCTAGGGTTGGGTTGCGAAAGCTAAAACAAATTTTGTGTATTTATTTCACTTTAGAGCTTATAAGAAGTTTTTGAAGTGGAAACAAAGAGGCTATTAGCTTGAGAAAGTTGGTGGATCTTCTAAGCATAATTAACATGTGTTAGGTTGCATCTATGGCAGTAACCATACCAATATATGTGTATAAACAGGTCATGCTTAGCATGCCAATTGGTGCAAGAGAAGAAACCACTGTACAAAACAAAGAGTGCACACTTCAAAAATAGGTTAGCTCTGAAGAGAACATGAAGATACAAAATGACGAGAAGAGATATTCTTCAAGATACAAGAAGTTGGCATGGCGCACAGGTAGTTTTTGCCATATAGAACATAAATGGTTGAGTTGTTAAATCTCTTATTCACCCATCTGATCAATATTTTTGTTCCTTCAATCTCTTTCTCTTGTACGAACAACTACAGGTTCCAAGTCTGCTCCTAGTGTCAATGCCGACTCAACTTCAAGGAGGCAAATGCTACGCGGATGCCTCTTTACCTTGAGGAAATGCCACAGGTACAAGAATTAAAGCAGAGCTTGAAATATTTATTTGTCAACACAGACGCTACTCCTACCCAAACAATCTGCATCCTCTACATCTTATGGCTGAGGCTACCTCTCTAGCTTTTGGAGCAAGAGTGGCCAACACTTTGAAGTTCAGGGATCTATCTTTTTTCTCGATCATGCAAAAGGTTTGCGCGTATTTGTATTAAGATAGAGGAAAAGTTCAATACAACACGGAATACCAAGATACCTAGGGCACCGTTAAGCCATGTTACATTGGACACTGATCAACCTGAATTATGACGCCGGTAGGAGGCTATGCCCGAGATACCGAGCGGGCGTGGCGCTGCTTGCACGGACCCACATCGACATCCGGTGGGAACAACTCGCGTAGCGCCTACATATCACCTGGGTCCCCGCTGAAGATTTCATCGTACGTCTCAGGGCCGAGGTCGAAGGAGTCGTCATCCCGCTGGTTAGTCCCAAGCGCTTCAAGACAAGGTGCTCACCTCGTTTGGACGCCGAGATATGTGATATGCTCTGCGCCGCTATCTGTCTGCTCCTCTTTGGGAGCGCGGGCGGTGTACGTCCGCCGTGGGCCATGACATCGGGAGCTCCAGGAGTGGTGACTGCATCGGCTTTGTGATTCGCTCGATGAAGAGCTTGAGGCGTCTGTCGGTAGAGGTCGGGGGATGGGATGGGGATGGAGTGCGGTCATCCGCGGCTGCCATGGGGTGGCTGCCTTGACCAGTGCTGGGATAGGGCGCGTCTCGACTGGTGGCGTGACGTCCACCTAGGATGCGCCTGCATCCTGAGAGGCCACAGCCGACGCCAATAGGCTCCCGGGTACTGGTGCTCTAGCTAGGCTCACGATGAG